TTGACCATATTGGGGTTATCTCTCTTTGCCATGGGGGTGAATGAGCTTAAACAAAAATATTTTGAAGTAATGGTTAAAAAAGTTTGCCGACCGCTGCTCTATATGAATTTTTAAATCACAGACAAATTGATATTTTTATTAACTTCCTGAAGGGAAAAATTGTATGCATTTGTTGTGTTTCAAGTCAAATCAGTTCCGGGTTCGATCCCAATGTCGGTCACCTTGATATCAAGAAGTATGATATTAAATTTTCACTTGATGTTCAACTGAAAATACTTATATATATCAATGCTACAATTCATATAACCATTCATATTATATAAATTGTTTCAAAATATTTTGAAAAGTCGCGAAACGACAGTTTGTAAATCTCTGTTTACCTTTAACAAAAGCTTGCATTCCACTTTTATTTTCTTTATATCTGGTTTAATACATTCGGCGGTTTTATTGCTTTGTTTACGAAAGCTGCACATTGGTAAAATAAAGGATAACGCTTGAAGCAAAAGGTAAAAACAAAAGTGCAAAAATGCATCGGAATTTCAACGTCTCGACTCCTCGATGGATCTTTATAAGGCGTTCGTCATATTATATTAAGATCGTTCTTATTATTTACAAAAGCGTTTGATCCGACAATGTACCACATGGCAGCTGAACAATACAGCCAAGTACATCTAGTGATTTGTATGACCTTACCATAAAGATTCATCTAAATGATATCAGCGGAACAATTACGGATAATGATGCGCTCTAATATGCAGCGTGGACAATCAAAACAATGACTCGTTGCAGATAAAGCTGGGACCACATAATAATTTTCATAACAGACAAACCTCAAATTAAAACTTGGTAATTTTCATAATCGATTCAGGACTTTTGTAAAAAAAAGTTTGACAAAAAATTATGCATATACCTGCTGAGTATGAAAAAAGCACTCAGTTGATTGTCGCACAAAACTTGGTATAAATATTATTAGATCTATCTTTGTATCATTTCTGAATCTATTACAATCTTGATAATCAATTAATTCCAAATGTATCATTATCTATACCGTTTTCAAATGTTTCGAGATATTTATTACGAAACATTTAATGCTAATGGTTACCTCATTTGTCATGTAAATATAATTAATTACGTTCTTTGCCTTTTCTTTATTCAGTACTAGCGCAGCTTATGAATAGAAACGTCATTGAACTTCTGTCATTTTTTATGCTGCCGGGGAAAAATGAAACGGAACTTCTCATTTTAAATGCATGCGCCTGAAACAGATGATTGATAAGTCGAATGACCCTAAAGGTCGAAAAATGACTTAATTATAGATAATATATATATGTATATGTATATCTTTAATGTGTGTATTGCTGTACATGGAGATTTTCCTCAAATTATAACGAAACACTTCTTAATTGAAATATTCTTACAACTTTAGTTGTTTCTTGGCACAGTTATCATATTTCATAGTATATAAACAATGTTGTTTCATTTCGTTTAATTATCGTCGATTATTATAATTATGATATCAGCTTTTGAATTTTAATCATCTTAACCTTAAGATTTATAAATATGCAGTCTGTAAAAGGATGAGCAAGCAAAAGGAGTGGCATATGTTTATTGTTATTGACAGCAAACCCGTTAATCAAAGAGTATAATTTAATGCAAATTATTTGACTAATCTTAAATTTTACTGCTGGCCGTGGTAAGAACGTACATCGACCAGCTAGATTTCAAGCAGTAGTGAGTCAGAACTATCTGAAAAGGATCAATAGCTAAACTTTGGAATTAAGAGTAAAGGCTTTAAAAATACAAAACCATCTGACCATTGATGGTGGTTAGGCGATGATCTTACCTATTGATTGAAGAAATGTAGAATGAACTTCCTTTTAAACCTGGCAGTGTTCTGCAAGTGATTTTGGGTGATGATTCTCTTATCTGCTTTTGTACTTGCCTGAATAAGTTCATATTTCTATGCTGATGTCTTTGTAGATCAACCAATTTGGAGCATGCAAAATTTTTTGTGATAATTATTTTGACAACTTACAATATATTTAGTAGGGAAAACATTGACCCACTGTTTGTCTATTTTTACTTTTTTACACTTTATAATATTTAGTTCAATGAATGACTTTATTATATTTAGTCGATTTCAACTCTGGCTGTGTAAACATTTGAGATAATAATCTCAATAGATTATAGTGTACCTTTTCAATACATTCAAATCACAGAATCGTATTTAAATACAGCACCTTGATTAATCAGACATATGACGATTCCCATTGTCTGTCACCTGTATTGGATCCAACATCCGTCGTGGCTTATTCATTCAAATCATTCGAGACGTTGTCCTTTTAAAGAATAACTTCCGAAGTGATTTGTCTTCATATATGTTCGCATGCGTAAACACCTATTGAAAGATTTGCAAGATAATGCAAGTTGTCAAGTCAAGGTCGATGGTAATTTATCAACAACGGTAGCAAAGGTCGGAGTGCCAATCTGTTTTTCTTTCATCTCGGGACAGTTGTCATGTCTTCTTTTGGTATTAATACCAATGTTTGTACAAGGAGAGATGTGGACAAAGGACACGTGCTGCGTTCAATATTGGCGCCGTATGCTCGGAATGGAATGGAAAGGTTACTTTGCGGAGAAGGATGTGAATTTTTATGAGTTATTTTGATGGATGGTGTTATTTGGAAATCTTGATTAAGAAGAATTTAATGACCTTCTTGTAGTTAAAAATAAATTTATTTATTTATTCAAGTCATTAACACATTAATTGTTATTTCTTTTATAATGTTTTACTGGGGCCTCAAGAGGTGGTAGGTGCTTTGACCTTGATTTCAAGTTACAGGGTCGACAAACCTCACGCAGCCTGATGTTAAGTTTTAGTGATTTAGTGATTATCTCTTAGAAGTATTGATAGCAATATATTTCCAAGTAAAAATAGCCATTTTCTGGCACCAATAATAATTGATAAAAAACGGTATATATTAAAATTAGTAATAGAAAAAGTTGTCTTCTGAAAAGCGACATCATCGCCCAAGCTTGAGGTTTTGGATAAGTTTTATGTTTTTTCAATGATTGCTACTTCAGAAATGAAGGTTGAATTTTCTCTATCGCATTGTAATTATTTCTAAGGAGAATAGGTGATCAAATAATTGTTGGTTTGTTTTAAATCCTTAGAAATTTTCTAGAGTTTTATTTGCATTATCACCAATTTTAGCAACATGATCGGCAAAGGTCAAATTGGTGTCAAATAGAGTGCTTAAGTCAAATATTTATTTATCTTAATATGCATCTGATGATGCAGATTTTATAAACAAAATATGTGATTTTGATTTTAAAAAATACGGATATTATCATTGGATCTTGGAATGTTTTGAACAGCATATTATTAATTTAAACCATAGATAGCCTTTACCACTAGGCCGCAAATATTGTTAAATGAACCTTGTCGATCGATGGAATATCATTTGAAAAATTAAAAATGATATATGTTTTTTTAAAGAATCAATACAACTATGTTATTAAATACCCCTGTAGATTGTTTCTTACGATTTATCGACCGACTTCCACATGATCATCTGTCTGATAAAGATAATCTTTTTTCCGCGGGAGACGGCTCGCCTCGTGAGCATGCGAGTTGTCAAGTTAACATGCCTGTTAATTTATAAACAAAGATATCAAGATTCGAAGTGTCAACTTACTTTACTTTCATAAAACTGTTTGTAGTTTATTGCAGTAATGCGAATGTTTATGTTAAAGGACAGGTGCTTCGTATCCGTACTGCCGTCACTTGATTGAAAACATGAATGAATTTATTTATGAGCTATTATTGGTGCATTGACTGGGATTCTTTGATAGTTTATTTGTACGTCGTGTAATTTAATATTTGCTTCTGGTATTTATGATTGATTTATAAGATGCGTTTATTTCATTGATGTATTTTTGCTCTTGTAAAGTGAAAATAGCCTCTTCGGGCATTGCTGCAAATATTTAATAATTATCTTATCACAAAGATAATGGAAAACCACTGGCTACCTTCTGATTTTCTAGTTTATAAGAACTGCGTTCCAAATTAAAAATTCTAATTAGAATAGTTCTAATTGCCGTTAAAAAATAATATGCAGCAGAGAAAAATATGCAGAACATTTTTACGTGACTCTAATATAGTATTGGCGCCATGTATTTGGAGAGGCTCCTGTAGAACAATATATAAATATTTATGAGTTGTTATTTTATCACTTGTTTTCTGCCATATATTTTGTCATATGCTTCTCAATAAAGGTATTTACATTTGCAAATCAACCTTCTTATGTCTTTGAATGCAATAAAAGTAAATGTTTTTGCAGGTTTATATTCTTTGTCTTTTTGTTTTTTATATTTATATTGTTCGCGAGTTTTCTGAATCTGATTTAATGAAGATAATGCTATGTTTATTTTTTCTTTTGGCTCGAACAACTTGAATGCATTTTTAGTGTCACACTTTTGTATCTCAATGTGGTATTAAGACTTGTTCACTAGATTTGCAAGATAAGGAAAGATCTTAAGCGAAGGTCGAGGTTGATTCATACATAATGACCGCAGATATCGAAACATCAATTTGTTTTTCTTCGATCGAATTACTTGTCATGTCTTCTTTAAGCAATAAGACGAGTAATACACGTTTAAGAAACAAAATTTATTGATAACTGCGCCATATCAGCCGAAGGAAAACTAATTGAGGAGTTGAGGAATCTTTGTGACCATATTTTTCGGTAGAATTTGTATGGGGTACGGGAAAAATTTATAATCCAAAATTTAAAAATTTAAATTTATCATATTTTATCTTAGCTCTAAAACTCAATATACATTGATTACTTGATTAGAATATGAAATCTTTATTTTTGAAATTATGATCGATTCCATAAATCCAAAATATCTATTTACGAAGCATGACATTTTTATTAATTTATTTGATTTTTATAAACAAACAAGTTTTGATTATCAATATTTTATATTATTTTCAGGTTCGAGAACTTGTAGAACGATGTACTTGCCCATCACAATTCCCGATGGTCAGAGTGTCGGAGGGAAAATATCGAATAGGAGATACTAAAGTTTTGATTTTCGTACGAGTAAGTAATTTCACTAACATTCAATGTTAACATAAACAAAGTTATAAAATTTCCACTCATTGATCGATGAATAATTTTCATCGTTCTCTATTTTGGGACACTTCACTTGAATTCTATCAAATGGTAGATCATCGAATCTTTATTTTTGTACTCTGATTCAAAATTTATCGTAGCCTAAAATACCCGATTTAATGGAACCAACTTATTTAGCTTGATCTATGATAGTGATTATTCTAACAAATTGTAGTTGTGGGTGTACTTCACAAGTAAGTATTTAGGCCGCCGAAAAGAGCAACATTATTTTGAGCCTAGTTCTCATTACAAATTTATGCGCGGGATAAGTGCACCTGAAATAATTCATCACTTGCTTTGAAATTCTTATTGTACCTACGCAAATGATATAGTAGTATTAATCATTTGGAAATTGAAAACTGGATATTGCTAAATTTTGTGTTCATCAATTATGTTACTAATGACCGAATTATGCAAATTTTGTATAGATATTATGGACGTTGAATATATTTATTCATTAGTCACAGATTAAATATCACAATACAAGAAAGTCGTAGTATTGTCTAAATGCGTATAACACAAATATTGCAAAAACAAGAGAATCCTGTTAATTGAATACAAAGGTTGTTCTATTCGTTCGTAATCAAGGTTGTTTTACCATATAGAGTTGCTAATAAAATTCAACCGTGGATTCTGGTTCTATCTTGTAATGTGCTTTCATAACAGCCGCGTTTCCTAGATAATAAATTTAGTTTGTTAATGGGGCCAACCAGAACGGTGTCGTCTGAACTATCTTCGCAAATTCGCATGCCTACCTGTACCTGCTCGCGAATTACGCACTGTACTATAAATTTGTGGACGCTGACTCAAGGCCGATTTTATCCAAGGATATAATATGACACAAACCATTTATAGACTTGTAAATGTGAAAAACCTTTTAAGTTAATGCTTTTTGCGTTATTGCCTGTAATAAATTCTTTATCGTTCTGTTGTTTTAAATTGGCGTTTTGTCAAAATTAAATATGTACATTGCTTATGTCGTAAAACTTGAATATGTGCAACATTATTGATACAGGGCGAGGCACGGAACTAGTTATTGGTAATCATATAAAAACGTTTTTTAACACGGTTCAGTAACAACTGAGGTTAGGGGCTTCCAACCTTCGGTTGCAAGTCAATAAAATATAAAAATATTAAATATTTTTCAGCTTTTGAATTATTCAGTTATAGAAAAATAAAAGTATAAAAAAAATATTTGTGAATTATTAAAATAATAGAGAGAGTTTTCCCTGGCAAAACAACTATCTCTACAAATCATTCTACTCGACAATTTTCTTCAAGCACATTAGAACTGATTTTAAAAATAATCTTGCTTCCTGCTCATTCAAGACTTATCTCTACATATTTTTTTACCCCAAAATTTTCTTTAAGCCATTGCTGCTGATTAATTACTTTTAATATTTTTATTCAATAAAATCAACCATCTAATTATAAATTTCTTTAAATATATTTTTTATACCCATAAATATTTTATTTTTTCTTATCGGCTCAAGAATTGAGAACGCCAGCACGAAGTCATGAATTGCAAATATGTTTAATGGTGTTATTTATTTGCACGACAGATTGTAATATATTTTCGAGTAAAAGCTTTTCGATTATTTCGTCAAGCACATTCACATTCTTTATAAATACCATTCATTCGTACGATACGAGGTATTTCAATTGTATATTAAAAAGCTTGCATAATTTTGTTATCAGTAATAAAAATAATTACTTAGATCGAATATGATAATTGACTACTTAATCAATTGGAACGCTAAATTTGGAATTCCTTTTCACATATTTCTAAGTGATTAAATAAATTATATGCTGCCATGATTAACCTTTTCAATTTCTTGTTAAAGGTATCGTACTATAAAATAATATCAGGATCAATTAATTAATAATTTACCTTTGTTTGCACTTAAATGGCTGAAGTCAACTTTCAATTACTATGGCTTGTTTTTATTTCATGTTTTGCATAATAATGTGCAATTTAATTTTTTCCAACATATGTTTTCTTCTTTCGCAATAGATTCTGCGAAGCCACGTAATGGTCCGCGTAGGCGGCGGCTGGGACACGCTGTCTCACTACCTGGACAAACACGATCCTTGCAGGTGCAGGGCGCAACACCGCACGAGCCAGGCGGCCAGACTGGTCCAGGCCCCGCAAGCGCGCAACGGCAGGGAACCTCAACCGTACGTCGATCTGTCCAGAGCAACTGTTATTTACGATAGGTAGGTTGTAGTCAGTAATTAGTCATTAATAATTTAATTAAATCCGGGTTAAGATAGGTCGTAACGGTATTATAATAATGGAAATGCATTGTTAATTTATGGAATTTTTCAACTCAAAGAATTCTATCATTCGAGGTTAAGATTTATTTTTATTATTTATAAAAAATGATTTTGATTTTACTTTATAATTAATTCATTATAAAATGTTGATATTATATTTCATTTACAGAGTTAGTTATATTTTGATTGCACACCAATTATTCGCTTTATTGGCTCGAATAAATGCAAGTCAAGGAATTAAAAGCATTTTTTCTGTGGCGTTTGCATGTTAGGTATTAGAGCATATTTTCATTTATGATAATATTGCATGCGTATCATTCATATTTTTACTTCCCACTTATTGGCAACTATATATTTGATAGCTTGAAATAGAAAAATGCATACATTCAGTTGCAAAACATGAAAATCTTTTACATCGCTTTGATGATATGAAGGATCTGAAATGACTTTTAGAAAAATAAACTTATTCATTATTATCAAAACAAAACAGACATTGAGAGATAGGTCGGTATATTTCTGTTATTTAACTTATTTGAAAATTAATTGCTATACTACAAGGCTTAATAGAGTTAATTATATCTAGTTTATTGTCGTTTTGCTACTCAAAACAATTTTCAATTACATATATAATTATGTGCTTGAAGCAATCGCACCTTAATGTAATAGAACGTTTTTAATGAAATGATATTTATAATATAATTTAATGATTTATTAAAACATGTAAATATGAGCATATATATCAGGAAGCACGTTTATGTAATAGATTCACTATATTCGAAAGTTTATGCTTGATTAAGAGCATAGTACGTTCGATGCATATAAATATGGTTTGCAAGTCGTTTATGTAAAATAAAGAATAATAGAAAAATTGTTATATCTCAGATCAAGAAACTCGATGTTTTCAAAATCGAACTTTTCTTGTAAACATTAAGAACTTAAAAATTGTGGATTTCGATTTACAACTTGTGATACCAAAAAGTCAAGCTTCTAGAAAACGTCATCAATTTTTATTGGTAATATGATTTATGATAAAAAACTTAAATATTTACAACTAAATAAATATTAAATTTCTAAAGTGTCAATAGCGGTTAAATTTTTGGAAAAAATTTGTATAGGAAATAATGGTGATGGTGTTCCTATATGGTGATGACCAGATGTTGAACAGAATTCAACCGAAAAAAAACAGTACATATAAGTGATCTACATATCCGTAAAAGCATATGTTCTAATATAAATATTTAAATGTACACAACCAAATACAACTTGTTGTACAAATTAAATTAACCGCATATCAAGACATTAGATCTTAATATCTTACTATTAGCATTAAAAGCGTCTTATTCCAAACACGGAACACATCAATCAATTTGCTGCAGATACGTCAAGAAATATCAACTTAGAGATTTAGGAGAAAATATGTTTTTTATACACAGCACTGTGTGAAATATACTATAATTTTAGTTACATCATTAATTTGTGAGATCATATAAAAACATTTATCGAAAATTTGCAACACACATATCTACCATATCGGTTGGATTACATGGCTAATCAATCATTTGTGGCTTTAGAGAGTTTTTGATTAGAATTGTTTTTAGAAATAATCTTGTTTCCTGCTCATATAATAAATAATGCCAACCATTTATATTGCATCATATATATTTTTATCCAAATTTTATACATTTAATAATTTAAATTACTATTTTAACATCGAGAGCCTTGTAAGCACTCAATCATTTCAAAGTATGCGCTAATTTTTCTCTACTATTTAATTTTGCTATATTGGTAAATTTAAAATTTTATTATAATACCTATAATTAATTTAAATTTAATTTTGGTAAACTATAAATAGCTACTTACGGCCATGACATTTTTATTTTGTAGCCAACGTATGTATCATAGTATATTATTTACGATCGGTTTTTTACTTATACTAAATCCGTTTCCAGATTTAACGGTTTTGTCGCAATATATCAAATAATATGGTATTAGGTAATAAATTGTTTTGATTGTGTAATTTTGGTATAATCACCTAATAAAATCCGTTATAGAAGGTTTGTTCGCATAAAAACGAACAAATTAAAAGTCACGATATTACCACAAGACTTGATGCTTCATTAACCAAGTGTTCCTACGTGAAATTATATATCATTACATAGTGACTCAGAATATTGATAAAGATTGTAAAAAATATGATTTACAAGACCCAGCCCATATAAGCGGATCTTTGTAAAGAATAGTAATCATTAGTGATCTATAAATCGAAATTGAAATTGATGTTGTTAACTTGTAAATAAAAATTTATTTTGTAAAATGCTACCTCTTCAAATCTACTTAGTTTTGCTAATTTTAGTTTTATGTTAATGATGAATATTTTTGTGAGAGACTTTTTTTTCTGAAAGGTTCGTAATCTCGCCGTTATCGAAAATGGCTTTATTACACGAAATGACATATTTATCATTCGAATCGACCTTTCGAAATCAAACAATAAAGTCATAAGATAATACAGCTCTAGGCTGTAAATAACATTAGCACGAAGAACAAAAGAGGCGATCATGTAGGTATATAACATAATATTATATCGGTGTTTGGTATCGCTTTTTAAACTCCGGGCACGCGCTACATGTCGTATTGTCCGAGAACAACGTTTGCTCAAAAGCTCAACTGCATTTTCATTCGGGTCGCTATTACGTACATACATTACACAGGTACGAAATATTACAATACTTCAATTATAATTAATATCATCAGTATTAATAATAACTGTTTTCAAATAACCTCAACTGTTAAAATAAACTACAGGTAACCCTCGTATAACACGGTAGTTTCGTTCCTAAAATCATCATTGTAGGAATATGTTTTTTTGCTATTTCGCAGAAATTGGTCACCTGGTACTTTTTACCCTATAGTCGATAAAAAATAAATACTTTCTTTAAAATCTTGACAATGTGTCTCCGATTAGCTCCCATAGCGATATCGCCCTATTTAAGGTGATTACAGATCATTTTTGCTCTACTTTAAAATAGTATCTGTAATAGTAGTTTAAGCTCCTCTACTCTATCCAAGCAATATCAACATTTAACAATTGTATTATAAGTTGTAAACAATTATAAATATATAGAGTATTTGAAAAGATACTGTATATAATAATTCACCGTTTTGCTTTAAGATTAATATTGATTACTCAATATAAAATATAACAATTATAATAAATATATAATTTATTATTAATACGAATTTCGAAAGCGTAATGAACGCATTGTGTCATTTGGATCATGGTCACAAATACACAAGTTTTAATTAAATTTGCAAATGTATTATTTTAATTGTAAATTCACTTTTATTATTTTTATAGATCTATAAACTTCATGAAGTGTAAAGTTATAAAAGCTGGAATATTTATATAGGAAATTAAATTGAACTCTCAATGAGATTAAAACTATGGAATACATATAATATTGTGGGATTATTCGGTTTGTATAAAGTACTAATAATATTTGCACTGTGTAACTAAGCTAACGCATATTTATTATTTGTTTGAATACTAATAATGAAATTCACGTTGTGCTCTATATTTTTAAAGCGAAGTTTTTGCTCGTTGAATTAATTTAATTTTTTTAAACTGCGTAAATCATACCATAAAGTTCTTTCATGTAGAGTCCTTAATTTTATTCCTGTTTGTCCATTCGTCTCTCTACATGAGAAAATAATATCTGTAAAGCAAAATTGATGTTTTAATGCTAATTTACAGACTGTGTGTTGATAATAAAATTATTAGAAGTTTCTGACATGATCTCATTCTAAAATCTATTATCAATAAATCATAACAATTAATCATTTGGTTCTGTAAGGTAAGAACTCAGAAAAGACAAGTGGCGGAGTAATCTGATCTGAAACTGAACACAAGCCGTATATTATAACATGCCTTATTGTATTATAAATATTATAGTGTTTGTGTAATAGAGTTTCTGCTTATGTTATTTTACTCAAACGAATAAAATATTACATAATCAAAAACTGGCCTTTTCGAAACGTATCAAATAAGGTGATACCAGCGTGGGTGCATTTTGCGACGCATTCTATGGCATTTACATTTTTTTTATAAGAACGGCATTTACATTTTTTAATTCGCGTATTTTAATCAATCGCAATGTGGTCGGTTTCCAAATTTATACTGTGTCCATACCATGGGTTTATTGACTTCAGATATTGTCAATTTATGGGATTATACGAAAGATCGAAGGTGCCAAGTTATATTAGGAGTTGTCCAAAAAGTGTTAATGAAAGAAATTTTTAGCATTATTATTGAATTACTTCATTTTTGCAGATGTACAACCTACATGAAATAAGTAGTAATATAAAATTTTATTTCTGATTAAAATTATCTTTATCTAAAATAAATTTATGCAAAGAATATTATATTCAAGTAAGTTAAGAAACGAAATTCTGCTTTTCTTCAACCGTATTAAAATTTTCCTATTTACATCATGTACAATTTGCATTGTATCAGTCAATAAAATAGAGAGATGGTTGGATTCATAAGTTTCCTCGTGTGTGGTCTTCCATTATCTGATAATTGGCAATGATGTCTAAGATTCGATATGTAATTTTTCCAACAGATCACCACCGTCTGTTCGTCGAACGGTGCAGAGCGTGCCTGATAGCCGAGCTCACGATTCCACGATATCGCCGACGGCGCATTTGTACAAAGGCAGTGCGACGACCGATACAAATGAATTGCACAACACCAGCAACATTGTGAACAATAACGAGAACTGCAGCGACAATGGGAGCGAAGTCAGCGACGAGGGATACAGGAGCCTCGGCCTGGTGAAGGAGACGACGTGCGCCACCCAGACCAAGAGGCGTCAGTCGAAGCAAGAGGATGACGGTACATATATACAGATATAATAATATTTTGTTCTAGGACTTGAAATTGTGTTTGTTAAGATATTTACTTTGTGCAGGACGTCAAGAACCGTCTGATAGCTCTCCATTGTCTTCGAGCGACGATAGTAGTAAAGTTTCAAGTAAATCTACTCCAAAAACTAATGGCTCTGTTAGAATGCCAAGATATGCATCGCCTCTTAATAGGACTGGGGTATGGTTTAACTTTCCATAAATATAATTTAATTAGATCTATAATTTATATCAATTGTGGTACGTATGTGGTTTCCAATATTTCATCACTATGTCTTTTTACCAGGCGAGAAATCGAACGGAATCTCCTAGCATCACTAGAAATAATCAGCGTGCAAACAGCATTTCAACTAATAACACATGGAGTGGAGCTCGTACTAAAACGAAACAACGGTCTGCAATTACTCCTGAAACTTTTGAAAGAAATTCACATACCAGAAAATCAACGTCATTGAACGGATCCCCAACTAAAACCAATCCAAAAATACGAACACCTTTAGCTAAGCAACTTTTACATACTGCGCAGACTGCAGCAAGTGAGGATGAGTTATTAGCACAAATGAAGCAACTTTTGTTGAATTACGACAAGCATGGTATTATTCAAAGCTTATTTATTTATTTTATATTTATTTGCTCATAAATTTAACCGTGTATGTAAAATATCGATGTGAACTATGTATGCTTTAGATGTTTCCATTAATGAATTTATATCTTATAATTATTATTCAAGTATGATAACTTATATACTTTACCACTATTTATTTTTGCAGATGATATGACATCAATAGGATGTCGAATAAAGACATGTGTAAGTCCTAGAAAAGATGTAGCAAGAGATCGGAGTGCATCTCGTATTCCTGCACCAGTACGAGCTTATACGGAATTGTACTGATATAGGTGAAGAATACATTGTCATAAAATTAATAAAAATTTGAAAAACTTATTATATATAACACAAATTATATATTACACAAATTATATATTACACAAATTATATATCAGAAACTGAGAAATTTAATTTTTGATTAGTTCTAAATTAATTTTAAAAATCTTTCAAGTTATTATATTATATTTACTAGTAAACATAAAATGATAATTTTAAATATTTACTTCCAGAAAAAATAGTAGAAGAAAGATGATGACAGAAATGCAGCTCCAAGAATAATTATTGATGGATTATTTGCATCACAATAAAATTAGATGACACAATTTAGATTTCTTCCACACTATGTAGATATATTAGAAACAAAATTTCAAGTAAGCACAAAAATGTATCCTTGATTGGCTGTGCTTTTATTAAATATTTTATACCATCACATGAAATGATATTTTTACATTTGGGTATGAAAAGTTAGTTAATCTCACTGACTTTATAGAATAGTTTTAGTACTCTTACCATTAGTAGATGACAAACGAACTGATAATAAATAAACTTGTTAAATATGAAGCATAATACTTGTTCTGTCAATTTATGTAATCTATATATTTTAGCTACCAATATTAATATTTGGTAAATAAATTACATATATCAAAAAAGCCTACTTTAGAAGTAGTATTTTTAGCCATAAATAATGCGAACATGCAGAGCAGTTTGGGTTATTATATGTTAATTGTACATATTATTTTATGCTTTAAAAACTAAAATGATTGTTAAGACATTGTTAAGACATTTCGTGTTTGTAAGGTTTGGTGCTTTAATAATTTCAAGTATTATGATAGTTGTTGATTAAAAATTTATCGTATCTAAGTTTTATTGTATATGAATATTTTAACAAGTTTATTATGTATGAATAGATTTAATTTTAATAAAAAAATATTTTGAAATGTTGATTATATTTAAATATTTGTTATGATCGCATATAACAAAGTCCATAAGTTAGTGCAAAGAATAAAAAATATAAGAAATAAATGTTCCTTATAATAGTTTAAAAATGATAATAATATTTCCTACTAAATAATATGCTTTTATGCCAAGTAACATTTAGCTTTTATTTAATATTTTAATATGTTAAATATTATATTATAAAATATGCATTCATATTGCTTAATGAATGTTCAATAATTTACATTTGGCATATGTGAGAATAATCGTTTTATTATTATTTTTTTTATTAATTTATTAACATTACTAAAAAACATAATTATGATAACAGGTTAAAATATTATTTAAGACATATCATAATTCGTTTAAGACTTTTCAAACATTCCTATGATATTATGAAACATAATATGATCAGAAAAACAATTTAGATTTTAGTAAATATTCAGTAACTATACCAAATACTTAATCTAATCTTTCATTGTGTAATATTATTATATATTGAATATGTACTTATTTAATTTTTTTTTAAATATAACCATTATCCAACAAATAAGAGTAATTCATTTATTATATATTTTTTGAATAATGATAATGATATTAGCATTGAGTATCATAATTATAAATAATGATAATAATATGAAAATGTTATTTTATTATTCTTGGTTCTTTTATTAATGGATAAGTTAATTCAAATGTATAATTTCATCAAATTATACGGAATTAAAACAAACATTAGCTGCTCAGTACACTATATAAATGTATGAGTTCAATTGAATTGTTTGAAAGATGAGGCTAAAATTTGGATTTTTATGCATTCTGGTATATTATATAGGAAAATAAGGTTCCACCATAAAAAATGATTCCAATTTGAATCCGCTGCTTAAAATGAATTTGAATTTTGTCTTCGGTTTTATGGTATGTCCATTCTCTGATAGATGGCGGCACATGGCCATTTTATTGTATGAGCTGGTCATACATATCGTTTGTGTCTGCTTTGTATTCCGCATAGGGCGCTCGTATTCCGCGTATTCGATGGTTGTCAAATGACATGTTCGTAATTCGGGGCTATGAAATGTAGATAATAGTTTTATGTCGAGAGCTTATATTTAGCGATGTGATATTATAGCGTATTTTATTTTGTATATCTGTTGAAACGGACAAAGATGATTGTTTAGTGAGTGAATTGGTGATTTTGTGAGTGCAGTGACATTAAATTCTCAACCCAAAATGGCTCCTTCTCCAGACAAAACTATTGTGCCAAAAGCCCCCGATAAACGAAATGGTGTTTCAAATAGTGACAATTTTACGGCATCGATTGGTAAAAATACAAGTGTTAATGATACGGCAATTGTAAATCAACAAGAACCTCAGGTAAGTGACAATTATGTTTCTGTCATGTGAATCCTTTCGAAACAGTTTTTCGCCAAATGTCATGCAGTTAGAATTTGATATGATTGTGCGTACATTTTTTCTCGGCGATATTTTAATTAATTTCTACGATGTCAGTTATTTGTACTCTGCGATATTTATATTTAATCATATTATGACATTTACCATTTCTTTCAAACCACTCGAGTTAATACTACTTAGCCTTCGATCTAGATTTTGATTATTATGTAGTTTTGACATCTGATGTTTTAAATATTATAATGTGCAAACTATTAATCATAACCTGCAAATATTCTTATTTTAGCATTGAGTACTCCTTTTGAATTTGAACAGTTATAAATAAGCATTAATTTTTAATTCTACTGATACATATCCGTAACATAACATTAGCTGAATGTTACTGGAAATCTTATTATTAGTGACCAAATGAAAACAAATATTCATTCACATGGCTATAATTACTTGTAACAATGGTATATTATGAAATGTGGAAATAACATTTCTAAATTCAACAGACTTCTTTGTTTATTTTTTCATTGCAGCTGCAAACTAGGTGTATGTATTGACCAAAAATGATTTTGTTCTTTATAATAATCGATATAGAATCTATGAAAAATTAAGTATTCACACTAATAAATATAATCTAAATATATATTTAGCTAAGTTATTTGCAAATCAATTGATCCGTTATATATGCAAATTATGTTTGCCAAGGATATGCTCTATGTGAAGATTATTATTGATGTATTGATTTTATTTACATCATGATCATTTGCACAATATTTGCCTTATGCATGCAAAGATGAGATTTTAAATTATACAAGTAACTTCTCATACTCATTAGCAAATATACAATTAACTAAATAGAAACAGAAATTTCGTAATGAGGAGATAAATATATGAAGGATCGGAATTTGATCAAATCAATTTTTTTTGTTCTTTTAAACAAACTTTATTAATATTGCTTACGATTTATAAATGATTGCACCTTTTAGTGGAGAAATTGAAAACTATAATTTACTATGAGATTATGAACTGAACGTAACATATATAATATTTATAACATTTCAATATCACTTGCATAACAGAAACAGTTACAGTTGCGGTTAAATTTCAATTTCTTTACAAAACTATCAATTTACAGAATGTTCAGAAAAACTACATTTTCAGGCGATCTACGTCATTTTCGAGCAATTTCAGGCAGTATACAATATTTTAAGACTTTCTGCAACATTCTCCAGACTATTTACGACATTTTCGGACTACCTACACCATTTTCGGACGAGCTATTAAATTTTCATGTTTCGATAATCTAAGGCATTTTCAGACAATCTATAATATTTTCAATCTGATATTTTTAAACAATGTACAAACATTATCTCTGATATTTCTAGTGGTGCTAGAAGGTTTATTCCAATAATATTTATAATCATAATGATTATAACCCAGCAAAGCTACTAGTTTTTCAATACTATCAAATTTAATTATATTTTTTATTTTATATTATTTGTATGGTTTTGTAGTGTAAGAAAACATATATATATATAAAGTAAGTATTTAGACATTTGAAATAAAGTTTGTGTAACAAATCGAATTGGAAAAATTTCCATTATTAACCAGTAGAAGAGTTTTCTATTTTTTAATATTATGAGAAGTTGTGGATGTTTTGATTTAAATTATAAACACTGTTTTATGTGCAAGAATTCGCACTGAATGAAATTAACAGTCAGCACCTATCGTGACATACAATTTAGAAAGACAAAGACAATTGCTTGGAATAAATGAACGTTGTTGAATACCGACAGGAAAGGCTATTGTATTTTTCAAATATTGTTTTAATAATTCAGATTCTTCTTGTGCAAAAATTTCATACCATTAATGAACTGTTTTTGAGCAGCAATTGTTGATTAACTTGCAAATTCCGTTCAAGCCAAACAATGTATTTGAGTTGTCGAATGTTTCATGTGGAATATTTTATAATTTACGAACATGTAAGGAAATAGATAAACATACTGCTCTGAAATTATTATGATACTTTCAATTCGTATTTTATATGTTGAACAAAATCAGCAACAAATAAAACATTTTATAGTTTTGCTTGTTTTTAAATAAATTCAGGTTAAACTTACTTTTGTCAGCCGCATTTAAATAAATTAGAATACACTGTTCTAATAATTTTTACTGCTTACAAGCCCTGTTAAGAAACATTTTTGATATTATTTACACAGATGATTACCAAACCACAATTGAGGATACAGAACTGTTGTTATCAGCATTTTCAGTACGTAAAAAAGTAGATGTTTCACTGATAATAAGATATAAAAATTTATGCACAATTTATTGAATTTTGACTGCAGTCAGCCCCTATATCTTGGGTAAAAAAAAAAACATTGTCTTATCTTTTTCTCATACAAATTTTATATATATATATATATATATATATATACGAGGTCTGTTCAAAAAGTTTTCGTAATTTTCGTTTTTTCAAAAAAATATTTATTTATTCGTCTACATTAATGTGGTCCCCTTCAAAGTAGTCCCCCCCAGATATAATACACTTATGCCAGCGTTTTTTCCAATTTTTGAAGCACCCTTGATATTCACTTTTTGATATGTCCTTGAGCACTCTCGGCGATTTTCTTCAATCGAGGAAAACCGCCGTCCTTTCATGGGTCTCTTCAACTTTGGGAATAGGAAAAAGTCACACGGAGCCATATCTGGTGAATTTTTGCACTTTGCAACACTTTATTTCATTTTTTACGCAAAATTTAATACAAATTCTTTGACTTTTTCAATTCTTCCATTGTAAAAATCGCCGAGCTCAGAAAAACACGTCGAACCTTAGCGACTACCACAGACAAAGTAAACAGTGAATATAGCTGAAAATTTCATCATACTTTGTATGATGTATACCATGGGCATGTATACCAACACAATAAAAAAAAAATTTGACAATCAGACACTCCAGACCCGCGAAATTTAATTATTAGTAATTCCGGGTACTTTTTGAACAGACCATGTATATATATATATATATATATATATATATATATATATATTTGTCACTGATTGTGAGTTGTTTATTATGTTTGGGAGCAATGAAGTGAAAATTGAAGTTACAAATCAGTGTTTTCTTATGTTCACATCAGTTTCATTGGGGACTATGCTCAGGAATAAAACAAAAAACATTTAATTTAAATCTTATTCTAGATCAGGTTAGAAACTTACCATCCCGTCCTCGTATTTTCATTATTCAACTAAGATTCGACTTTTGTAGATTTATTTATTTTAATCATATGATCAAGATTGATGTTAATTATTTACATAGAAGAAATTATTACACTCTAGATAACATTTAACATATGATTAGAAGCATTATATGCACTTGAATAGCAGTAATTTCCTGAAATGTGATGAATTTATTTAAGTTTTTTTTTATGAACATAATTACTTAAGCTTACTACTTACTATTTTTTAAATTAAAATTTTCTTTAGACTTTTCCACTAACATGTGGTATTTAGTTATTCAAGTTATTGATTATTTTAAATTAATATCAAATATTTCTGTGTTTTCCAAATAAGTGGTGTGTTCTGTCCAATAAAAGGGGGGTCAAATTGGGGCTCGAAACGCATTTAAAATATTTTTTTAGAAGCATAATTTAGTTTTCTTTCTATTTCTCTTACTTGGATGGATACTTGTGTAAGAAGAACACACTGTAAATTGACTTTTAGTGGAAAATGTAATAAACTTTCTATGTTTAAAATAAAATTAAAATTATAATATAAAAATACACATGTAACATTAAGATTTCTTTGGCTTCTATATATATTTTAGTTTTTTGAAGTTCTTTTCATTTTAGTCTCTATTGCTTCTTTTTCAAATGAGATAACCAAAACTGATGCTTATTAATTTGAGTGGAAAATAGTTCTGTTTTTCCTTATGTTCAAATGTAATATGTTTTTTTAAGAAAGTGAACAGAAATTTCTTTATCTGGTATATTGTATATCATAACTTATTCATGTTATGATCATATATTATCAAGGTCTCACATCTTAAATTTCATAATATAATTATATCGATAAAGAAATTTAACACCACCTGAAGGGTTCTTAGTCAATACAAGAAACTCAAGTACTATATCAACTTGCACTTTGGGTTTCACATGATATAATTTAACATTATTGCAATCAAAAAATTATTTGTTGGACCAATGAAAAATTTTACAGATTGCTATATATTAATTTTTTTTAAATTGTCGGCGTAGAAAATTATGGTCCTGCGGTTTCTTAAATATTTCCTGTGGAAGTGTTTAATTTTAGGTATTAAGAGCGTTTAGAGATATAATATAAATATGTAAAATTAAAATGAAAAATATTACTATAATAAAGAATATTTTAATATTAAAAGTGCTGGGTTACATAATCTCTTAAGTTTGATATAAAGGCTACCGTTCGGAGTAGATATTTGAAATGAATTCGGAAAAAATGAATTTTTGCTACGTTGAAATGCATTTAAAATATCTCATCAAAATTTGGTTTATTTTTCAATACTTGTAAGGCTAATTTTATTTCAGTAATTTTTTATTACTGAATAAATATAAACAGAGTTCTCTTTCTGAGTATTATTTGCAAATTCAATGGCGTTAATAATAGAATTCATATTTTCGCTCCATCATACGCGCGAGTATTCTATATTCATCCATGTCATCTGGTAACCCGAAAGTTTGTACAATATAAATACTGCGCCATTTCTTGTATTCGTGTGTTGGGTATTGGAACTATAGTACTATGTGTATCACCGGCTGTGAATTGCAGTAAATAGTTATATATTTAATATCTAAGCGAATAAATTTCTAATTAAATAAAGCCATTTTATTAGTCTTCAAGTTTGTGTAGGTTTATAAAGTGATGAAATGCAATATGTGACTGAACGGAAAATTGAACTGAACACTTTGCCAAATATTATTGATTGCTTATATCGACGTGTGATTTAATTCTATTCTCGAACGCTATTCCTTTTTTATTTGTGAAAACACTATCGTGATCGTATATTTCGGCTTGATAAATAAACGGGGGGAATATTTTTAAATGAATTTTGCCATTTTTCTTGTTTCGAATACGCGTTTGAAAATAGGAGCATTCGACCATTACAATTTACAAACAACGCCTATCGATCATATGTTTAGCTTTTTACGATGGCTGTTTTGGACCTTGTACAATGTTCTTTGCGCGGATTTTTTGATGAATTTTTTATTTTATGCAAGAAATTACACATTTAGTACATGTTGAGCAAATCAAATAAAATCTCAAAATTTCTGAAAAATATTGCATCATTATATAAATTTGTAAATGTTCAGTTCAATATTAATTACGTCAAACATTTGCGTTCACAAATAATCTAATTGATATTTGCATTACTTACTTTTTTATCTTTCACTTTGTGGTCTGTTTGAATATGTATTATCCCCCCAGGGGTGTAGCTATAATTAGATTAACAATTGAATATTAATATATCTTTTTTCCAGGATAATCCTCCTGCATTATCAAAGTTAGATGAGGGGCAATTAAAAGCTCTTTTGGAGGAAGCTATAACTTACAAACGCCCTAAAGATCGTGAATGCAAAAGTTCTTTGTTTAAAGTGAGTTTTAATATGCTTTCGGTCTCATTTTTGAGATTTTAGTTGAAATCTTTCACCTTAATCTAATTATTAAGGAAAGATTTGAGATATTTAAGTTTGGAGTTGTAAAAAACATATTATTTGGTTTGATAGGAATTGCTTCACGAAGCGGAATCTTCTGAGGCCGCACCTCCTTTATGTCGAACACGATTTCAATCTGAGCGAAATGAAACTCGCAATTATAATAATTCTTCGCATCAATTAAATAAACACTCACAGAGACAATTATCTCACGGTGGTTCTTTACAAGATTTGGCAGATTCTTGCAAGTTTTTCGATAACAACAGTACCAAAATTGATAGTTATAGTTCCAGAAAAAATACAGGTATACTTCAGTTTAGACTACGAAAAATTACTATAAGTGTGGCTATGAGTATGCATGCTTAGACAGTAATCAGAATTATGCATCAAAGTCTATTTTTATCAGTTTTTGACAGAAGTGTGAAAGGTTGCATTTATAATTTTTGTTTTTTTTTTTGTTTTTCAATATCATACTAATGATTACTGCGAGTTTCATGAAACTTTCCTAAAACTTGGTGATTTTTAAAATCACTTGATAAATTTGGCAGTTTTCTTGAAAACTGAAATAGTAATAGCATATAGCAATTTGTACAGATTTTTTTACAAAAAAATGAATGTTCTGGTGAACTGCAATACAAACCTGAACATGTGAGATTATATACAGTTTTGAAACTTTTTGCAATTTATTATGATTTTTCTCATATTGTCCCTGCTGCATCTAAAATGAGTCTAAATTTCTATGTTTGAAATGGTATTGATTTTGATGTAGTGTATGAGAATGTAAAAATAATTTGGTACTTGGGTTTAAAGTATTCTTTTATATGTATGGTATAAGTAATAGTAATGTATTGGATCTCGTAAAACAAAAAATAAAATATTAAATGATAGGGTCTAACGTGAACCAACTTGAATGGATCGTTTTCAGAACGACTGCAACCGTATGCAAGTAACAAGCAAGAAGAGATTAGCAAGATGAAGAGATCTAGAGAAGATATGACATACAGAAGTGTTCCCACTGTAATACCAAGTCAACATCAGCGCATTATGTCCAACACTAATCAGCAACAGTCAATATCTGGGGGCTACAACAGTAGCAGACACTCGCCAGGTTCCACACAGTTTTCAGCAGCAGGTTCAGGTGCTGTTAAAATACATACAAATCCAACAGTTTCAATAAATACCACAAATGTGCAACAGAGTGGACAATTTCAAAGGCTTAAAGTTGAAGATGCTCTCAGCTATTTGGATCAGGTCAAGTATAAATTCGGAAATCAACCGCAAGTATATAATGAATTCTTGGATATAATGAAAGAATTCAAAAGCCAGTGTATTGATACACCAGGTGTTATTGAAAGGGTATCAAATCTATTCAAGGGTTATCCAGAATTGATTGTAGGGTTTAATACATTTCTTCCACCTGGTTATAAAATTGAAGTCCAATCCAATGAACAAGGATATGCTTTACAAGTTTCAGTGTCGGTACCCTCTACACAATCTTGTACCACACTGCCTATGTCATTGTCAAATTGTAAATCAATGCAAATAGTTCAAGGGTCAGTAAATACCACTCACACTTTTCCTATACAGCCTCTGGCTGTTCCACAAACCACAATGAATACTAATGTACCATCCTATCGTGAAAACCAAACACAAAATCGAGAATCAATGGTAGTCACACAGGGCCCCCAGCACTATTCAAATATAACTGAAAGTAGTATTTTACCATCACAGAATCAACCAGTTGAGTTCAATCATGCAATTAACTATGTTAATAAAATTAAAAATCGATTTCAAGGTCAACCAGAGAAATACAAAGGTTTTTTGGAAATCTTACATACTTACCAGCGTGAACAGAGAAATATTAGGGATGGTGTTGCCTCTAGTAAGCAGTTAAGTGAAAATGAAGTCTATTTACAAGTGGCAAGGTTGTTTGAAAATGAGGAAGATTTATTATCAGAATTTGCTCAATTTTTATCTGACACTACTAGTAATCGAAACCGCTCTACGTCTCCATATTCTGCTAAAAAGAACATGTCCCAAATGAAATCACATTCTGCTGGTAATACAGTTAATGTTGTGGACAATGAGAAAGAGCCTAGCTCTTTTGAGGGCGATAAAGATAGACGCAATACTGATAGAGATTCTGACCGCGACCGCGATCGTGCTAGTGAATCAAGAGAAAAGGAGCGTAATACAAGTTCTCATTCAAAATATCCAATCAAAAGATCCCCAAGTTTTCCTTCACATTTTTCTGATGTACCTTTGGCCAAGCGTGTTAAACCCACTGCTCAAGATATTACATTAGCAGAAGCTGCTAAATTTGGTACATTAAATGATTTTGCATTTTTTGACCGTGTTCGAAAAGCATTGCGCACCAGTGAAGTATATGATAACTTCCTGAGATGTCTGATTTTATACAATCAAGAAATAGTATCTAAAGCCGAACTCTTGCAAATAATATCTCCTTTTCTTGGTAAATTTCCTGATCTGTTCCGTTGGTTGAAGGATTTTCTGGGTCCTATATCACAAAGCGAGTGTGTCTCAGCTGCTATTGCAAATAGACAAGACAGGCCACATACTGACCATGCAATGGAGGTTGATTTAACAACTTGTAAACGATTAGGTGTTAGCTATTGTGCATTACCAAATTCACAAAACGATAAAAAATGTTCTGGGCGTACAGCACTATGCAAAGAAGTCCTAAATGATACGTGGGTTTCCTTTCCCACTTGGTCAGAAGATTCAACTTTTGTTACATCTCGAAAAACATCTTATGAAGAATATATTTATCGGGTTGAGGATGAAAGGTTTGAATTAGATGTAGTAATTGAAACAAATGCAGCAACAATTAGAGTTCTTGAGGGTATTCAGAAAAAGATATCACGCATGCCTCCAGATGAAGCAGCACGTTATAGACTGGATGATTATTTAGGGGGCACATCTCAAACCATACATCAACGAGCTATAAGGCGTATTTATGGAGATAAGACAAATGATATAATAGCTGGATTGAAGAAGAATCCAGCTATAGCCGTTCCTGTGGTTTTAAGGCGCCTGAAAACCAAAGAAGAAGAATGGCGTGACGCCCAGAAAGGTTTTAACAAGCAATGGCGCGAACAGAATGAAAAATACTACTTGCGATCTTTGGATTATCAAGGGGTTATATTCAAACCTAATGATTTGAAGAGTTTAAGATCAAAGTATATGTTTAATGAAATTGAAACGTTATTTGACGAAAGGCATGAGCATGTGGAGGACGCTGTTACTGATAATGTAGTAGGGCCCCATCTGACATTTTATTATACAAATAAAGCAATTTTGGATGATGCAACTAATTTATTAATTCATCATGTGAAAAGACAGACTGGAATACAGAAGCAAGAAAAATCAAGAATAAAACAGCTGCTCAAGCATTACGTAGCTGACTTATTTTTCCATCCCAGACAAACCTTGTCGGATGATGAGTATGATGATGATACTGAGGCTTCTAACAGTGCCAATGAACATGAGTCCAAAGATGATAAAGACTCTATACCTAAAATCAAGGACTGCGGGGCATCACAGAAAGGTGTTGATGCATTAAAAGTGGAAGTAAAAACAGAACCTGACAAGGATGCTGATCATGACTATAAACCAGATCTGGCATCTATGGACCAAGATAACGAATGTTATACTTTATTCATGGCTAATAGCAACTGGTATTTATTTCTGAGATATCATTCAGTTTTATGTGAACGTTTGAACAAGATACATGAACAATCTCAAAAATTAATACTGGAAGAATCTTTCAATAAACAGAAGCGAAGGGATTCTACATCTATTGCTTTAAGATTTAAACCCAAACAAGTAACACCAGTGGAAAATTATTATTCTACATTCTTGGATAAAGTGAAGGCCCTACTTGACAACAATATTGAAAATACAGCATATGAAGAAAGTTTAAGAGAAATGTTTGGCATTCATGCATATGTTGCATTTACTTTAGATCGAGTAGTCTCATATGCAGTTCGACAACTTCAACATTGTGTGACTGAGAGGAATGCTATAGACTGTGTTGAACTTTTCCATGCAGAATCTCGTAAGAATGGTACTGGAGGTGCTTGCATAACAGCTGCCATGAGGGCTGATGCAGAATTAGCTTATCAAAGGAAGGCTGAGAGGTCCTTGCAGGATGAAAATTGTTTTAAAATATATATTTATAAAAATAATTGTAAGTTAACTATAGAATTAATAGACACTGAATCTGAAAGCCAGCAGCAGCTGGCAGACACCGAAATGACGGCAAATTGGAGTTCCTATATAGACTGTTTGAAAACCACTAGAAAAGACTCGTCTAACATGAATAAACGTTATTCACTGTCAGAGTTATCAAGTAAATTAATATTTTTGAAAAGAAATTATAAAAAGAACTGTTCTATGTGGAATAAAGATAGTAAATCTGTTGACATAATAAATAGTTATAAAATGCAAATGAATTCCCAGAATAAGACAAAACAACAAGTAGACGTTACTGAAACTGCGGAATTAAATAAAACTGACGAAAATGCAGAAATTAGTTCCATGGATGTAAATAAATCTAATACAAATGTAAAACAATCAAAGCGGCTAAATGAGTTGACTGAGCAAGAAGGATTCTTTGTTTCAGAAAATGAAGAATGTTCTATGAGATTAAACAATTACAAAATGTTATTCATTCTTAATAAGGACAATATTTTATACAAAAATATGTCTTTAGGGAAAGCGAGAAGAGCTCACAAAAAGGTCACATTGAGAATGAATGGTAAATTTAAAAATTGGTTGAGCAGTTGGGTTCAACAAAATGTTGATGAACAACAAATAACATCTTGCTCTGATTGGTTGATGGGTTTAGGAAATGAAGTAATACCTAATAAAACAATTATGGTGACGAATAATGATTTGACTAGAACTCCCTATGTAGTGTACAATAAATATAAAGTTGAAAAATTAGATAAGCATAATTGATATAAAAATTAAAATACATGCATTAAATGCTCCTTTATTTTATAATCTATTATATAAAATTCATTATATGTTGTCTTATTATTATATATTAAACTATATTAGAAAAGAAATCATTCTTTAATTATTTTTTATTAGTTACTTCAAATATTTTGTTTCAGATGCAAATACCAATAATTTATATCGACCGTCTAATGAAATCTTTGAGTCTGGTTTCACTTTTATTGAAAAAAACACAGTATTTTTTCAAATTTTCAAAGCCAAATTTTATAGCATCAAAAACTGGATTGCAAAATATGGCAAACAACATATGAATTTTGATAAATTGGGTTTTCAGTAAATTTTTGAGTAAATTTAGATAATTTTTTTTTTAGAGCTGTCTAAATTATGATTCTGATGAATATCATAATCTCCGAATCATGCTGGTTCAATTATAATCCATCCTAATGAGTTTCAAAGTAATAACTAATGTTGCAAACAAATTCTTGTTGGATTTTAATTATAGAATGTTTAAATATTAATTAGTTCCCACAAAATCTGTACAAAGTGCTAATACTATTTATTTTTTCAAGTATTTTCTGATTATTCATAAATTGTTGCATGTTGTGTATATTAATCTGCTTTGTAAAATGATGTATATTTATGCTTATAATTATTTAAATTGAATGCAACAAATGATAAGGTTTTGATTTGCAGGTGCAAAACGGAAAACAGTATCCGTTTCAGCTAGACAATCTGAGGGTGGAAGTTTACCTAGTAACGTAAATAATAGTTCTACATTTGCTTATGATAGATTATTTTTATATGATGATAAGTTTAGAAAATGTGGTCTGACGAACACTGATGATTACAAAGAACTCTGTAAGATCGATATTGCAAAGAGAGATTTCAATGATATTTACACCACATCTTGTGAAATAAATTTAAATAAGACCGCTTCAAGTTCGAACTCGTCCTTGCTGAGATTTTCCCCAGTACCAAATAATTTAATAGATCCCGATGTTATAGAAGAATGTCAAGCAGCTTTACAGGATTCAGCTATATCTGACGATGAACAAAAACAGTTTGTAATATGCAGTACACAAGAAAAAAATTCGAATGATGAAAGATCTGATAAAACGGGAAAATCTTCTAAATTAAATTATACATCTCACGCAGAATTCCAAATAAGCATGGAGAATAATAATCAAAATGGAATGGATAGTAATCGTTCTAGTCGAAGTAAAAACACCAATAATGATTTTGGTAGCACAATTCAATTTTCTCAGTTTGAAAAACCGTTATTATTGACTTCAACATATGCTCCAGTGCAATGCTTGATCGGCACTGGAAAGTCTGCAACTAGTTTAACCAGGCCCATCAGTTGGTTGACACCCGCAGCTATACCTGCTTTATTACAAGATGATTCTAAGGTAATTCTTTTTTAAAATCTATTATTTTTGGTGAAGATCGGTCGGACCGTTTCCATTGTAAACATTTTTTCTATGCGTTCATTATTTTATAGATATATTTTAAAAATTCATCAAACAGCTATTAATGTGTAATAAAAAGGCTTGTACAAAATTGAATAATCTGCAATAGGGGAGAAACTATTATTATGTTCTACAGCAGTTCGGTATACTTATAAGTCACTTATTAATTAATACATTGATTTCATTTTGATTGAATTAAGATATTCATGCAATTTGCCTTAAGGCAAAATGCCACTAGATGCAAGTGGCTTACATCTTCTTATTTTTAATGGTTTAATATGCATTCTGATATATTTATTTAGATGTTTTATTTCAGAAATCTTTAGATGAGAATGGCAATTCTCTTCAAGCCTTCAATTCTACGATGGCATCTAGTCAACAACAAAATGCACTTAAGATTAAAAGAGAAAAACCAAAGCAAAAGAAATCTGATCGTAATGTGAAAGTTATACGATCAGAGGAAGTTGTTGGACATAGAAATGAAACTAATATAGATCTTTTAGTTCAATTTATTGAGAATGATGTTAATCCAAAGAAAATTAATGGATTTTCTAAAATGAACAAATCGAATTGCAAATCTGACAATATAAGTAATAAGCAACGTTATTTAGAAGATAAGAATAAGAAAAAGGATAATAGAAAAAATAAAGATATTCAAAGGAATTTATTTAAGAGTAATTCATTAGAAGAAGTATCATGTTCTATGTTAGAAGATTTAACTAATGACAGTTCTGGAATTACCATGCGTAACAAGTCTAAAAAGGAGTCAAGTTCGTCTAATGACCGTCGCTCATGGGGCGAAGTCAGTTATATGGGAGAGAATAATTTCAATGATAGCAATTCTAAGACCGATGAAAAAATATTTGAACAAATGTTTGATCCAAATGTTAGTTTAACAAACGAGTTGTCGAATAATTATGCAGAATTAGCTGAGTTTCATGTAGTTACTAAGAAGAAAAAACCTAAAAAGTATCATAACCATAACATATTTAATGATGAGAAAACGAATTTACAAAGAAACGGGTATTATCATAATCATAAGTACCAAGAAAATAATTTTGCTAATAATGATTTATATTTGAATCATGGCGCGATGGCCGAGCAGAGAAGGAAGTCTACTTCTTCAATGCCCCCTTCAGATAAATCTGATTCAAGTGATTTGGACTCTGTTCATTCTCTACCTGTTGAATCTACATCAAAAAAATTAGCTGTGCGACAAATATCTACTTCCTCTGGAGGGACTCCACTAGCTTCTTATGCTGATATTACTAAAATGCCTAATGTTAGTAATGATACATGCAATGATATTTGTTTCAATCCAGACCAAGATAAATGGTCTTCAGAATCTAAGAATATGTTTCCTTCTTTAATAGAAACTACAACTAGCGACAAAAGCAATCATCCTAAAACAATGTCTTTGAATAATTACAATTTTCCTGATTTGATAGAATCATGCCATTACTATAGTGAAGTCCAAAAAAAGAAAGAAAATGAAGAAAATAATAAACAAGAAGCATCAAAGAATAGATCTAAATTAAAATTATCTCAATCAAAAAGTGTCGATATGGAAGATGTATACGTCCAAAATAAAAATACAAGAAACAATGATGAACATATTACTAAATCTATAAACAAATCAAATAAAGATAATCAAAAAATTATTAAGAATAAATCTAACATTGAGGAACAATTGAAAGAGCCTAAATCGATCAATAACAAGAATGGCTTCAAAGAGAAACAAAATAATGCTAGCAGTGAATATTCATTAATAGAATCTAACAATAAGAAGAAAAATATGAATATGATAAGTATGACTAGTGATTTAGTATCGGATTGTATTTATCATGATATATTAAATGAGAAAAACAAAGAAATGGATATTGAGTCGGCGGATCCTAAACAATCTTTGCCCCCAGTTATAATATTAAATGAAGAATTTAATTTAGATGAACCAGCCGAAAATGATATAATTTTTGGATTTGAATTAAATGAAAAACTCTTGTCTGGGGAATTGAGTGACACCGACAGTAATAACACAGTAGTATATCAAGATTTAGAAATAACTGATCGATCTGTTGTTAAGGGCAATTATAAGGTTGATATATGTGAAAATTCTAAGAACTCATCTGCTTGTTCTACAGAAAACATTCAGGAGGATGTGGTATCAACCCCTATACCAAAACTATCTAGTGAATCCAATGATAAGAACTATTCTTGCGAATATGCTGGTCATAACAATAAAAGTATATGTGATAACTTCAAAACGAAGGTCCAAATTAATAATTCCAAGTGCTTAAATTCTATCAAATTTATACCTCCATCAAATTCTGGCAGTTTTGAAAATCATGATAAAATAGTCAGTTTTATAGGAATAGGTATGTGTATATTTTGATAACAAGTGTTTATTTAAATATTTTTTTTTTACAAATGTCGTTTTTTTCCAGCATGGGATGAAATTCTTAAGGGCGGAACAGCTCAGTATTATACTGGATGAAATTCAAACTGTGATTCAAATCAAAACTATGGGTAAAATACTCGAGATGAAATAGTATATGTTATATATACTGAAGATAAGATCATTTATCAAATATACTAAAAGCAATGAAGATGTTCAAATGATGAAATAATTAGAACATATGCTAAAACATTTATGAAATGTAATAGTTTATAATGCTGTTGATTTTTTGCTCTTTTTATTATACATTATATGTTTGTTAATAGTATCTTGTTTATTTTGCATTATGCAGAGAAATATGTATTTATTTATAGGAAAATGTGGTATTAATTCATGATAAAAAAAAATATTTTAATTATCCCAAATATCCCCTGACACTTCATCCAGTCCAAAGATAATAAAGGTGAAACTTGATATTTCATTTGTTATCTGAATATCAAGGTGAATTAGAAGGCGACAATAAATAAATAATGCAATTTTAATTTAAATATTACAAAGCCAAAATGGATAGATAATGTTTATTCAAAATTGTGAAATTTTAAACTTCAACTTATTAAATGTGTTACCATAGCCATTTTTTTCACTGATTGCAATATTGGTCATAGAAAATGTTGATTCTCCAAATTAAAGTTGTTTATTTAACTTTTTATTTTCATGCTTGAAGAATCAAACATTTCTTCTAAGAGATTCTAATTGTAAGTGGCATTTTACCTTAAAGTAATTTGAATGAACTTCCTTACATGTGTAACAGTGTAAATGATTGACTGATTTCGTGATTGATTTATAATTATATCAAGTGGCTGTAGGGCATCATGTTGTGAGAAACTATTGCAAATGTTAGCTATGCCTATTTGCCCAGTGCCCAGTGTATATTTTCTAAAAGTGCAGGACATTATTCCAAATTTTAACTTTTGTAATTCAACCACTTGCTTATAATATAAAACGGTCAAAACTTTGTTAAAAATCTGTGGATAGATATCTTTGAATATTTTATTTGAAAAGAAAACCACAAAAACTTAGTGAAAAAATCCGTGGACAGATACCTTTGAATATTTGATAAAAATAAAACAGCCAAAACTTTGTTTAAAAATCCATGGATAGATATCTTTGAAACTTTGTTTAAAATGCCACGGATATATATCGTTCAAGAGATAGCTCTTAAATTTCTGAAATCGGTTCAGTAGTTATTGAGAAAACGTTGACGAAAGAGGATACAAAATGACTTGAAACAGAAAATGTTAGCAAGTAACAAGAAAAATAAGCAACTGGGATTTTCTGGCTAAAACAAACTTTCTCAGGAATTTAATAGTTCACTTCTATTGGATAAGTCTGGGTAAGTTCAACTAATTTTTGTTGTATTGTCTCAAATAGTTTTAAATCAACTACATTCTATTAATGAGGAAGTTAAACTTTAATTAACAATTCGTAATTATAAAATAAAGTGTACATATTGTACAAGTGAAAATAAAACGATTTATTGAATGTTATTTAAAGTGACAAGTATTAGTAATTGATAATTATGAATTTTGGTAAATATAAAATTTTACAGAACTTTACGAAATACAAGTCATATAAAATATAAATATTATTTAACTCAATGCTTATAGTTTAAATTTTCAACAACTGGTTCCTTAATGTTTCTTGAAAGTGGTCCTTAATATTTCAATGAAACAAATTATATTAATGAAGTTTATATTAATAACAAAACAATACATTTATAATATGTTATAGTAAAGGAATTTATTCATACGTAACATGTACGAAAAATTTGACAAAAACTCATGATCTTCATAAATGAGACGCATATACATATTTGTATACAAGTAAACAAATTCACATGTGTGAAACAAATACACAAACTTTCAGTTGTACTGAAGAATATAGTATATTCAAATATATGTATACTTGTACTCATACATTGCAACTGATGTAGACATATATTCAAGCATACATAAATACTCCTTCACAAAATAAATACAAGATCGATCTACTAATAATTGTTACATTTTAATATATATCGCTATTTACTGTTTGTAACAACTTAAGATAATTCATTTTCTTCTATTTGAGAAAGAAAATGATCAAACATTTTGCAAAGAATATTAAAATATAATTATATCACGAAAAAGTTTTATTCATGGAATCAAAAGTTATTCAAAATGTCAACTATTTAAAAACTAAATTAACAATTACATTCAATTTTGATACAGTTATTAAAGTAACATCAATAAATTTTGAATACGCATTTACATGAATAGTTTCTTAAATTTTGAAATGAAAACTGAACAATTATTTAATTCAGGCTAATCTTACATTTGCAATATAATAATCACTACAAGTACAAAAACATAACTTCATTGAGAAAAAGCAATTAAATCATTTTCACACTTTCTAATTAAAATGAAATGATCGTACTTCGTATTCTATAAAACAAAATGTAGCGATGTCTTATAACGCATTTGTAAGAAAATAATCTTTGTGACTGTGTGCACATGCATAACAAAAGCGGATATGTGTACACGCACTCACAATATATATATTTATAAATATATGTTAAACTTGAAGATTATGGAACACACAAGTACATTTTAAAAGATTTTATTCTATTATGAACATTTAAGTACTTTGATATACTTTGTGCCCAATCTATGGAAAGGTTAACTGTAATACATGCTATGTTAAAGTTATGAAAGCAAAAGTGGTTATTTGGTAACAAATTTTGATACATAGATATTGTAATTTATGATCTGAATTTAAGTAAGTGAGCATTTTGATTTTGGGTAGTAATTTTTCTTTAATTTATTTAACCGCTCTTAAATAGGAGGATAGCAACTTGTCCAAGGTAAAAATAGATGAAGTGGCGTGTTTCGTGAGTAACATAGGATCCAAAATTCCTTCCAACGATACAATGCCATGTTGGGTTGTATTTTTTGTCAAATTCCTTCTTTATGTACGCAGCAATATCCTACAAATCGAAGATAAATCTCAGAAGGCCACCCATGACATTAAGCTCATACTGATAAACTTTATCAGTATTGATCAAACATTTATTGCCTTGATATGCAAATCATCACACTTATTAACATTAACTAGAAAGTCAATAAGTGATCTAACAGGATCAATAGCAGCAAGTTTTCATCATATTATAAACTATATTTATATATTGTAAATAATAAAATAAAATCATTACAGATTTTTATAGAATTTTTCAAGTTCCAAATTATTTCTGACATTTATTTTTGAATTGTCTTTAACTATCAATAATTTCGTGCAAAGTTCTAGAAACCGTCCGAGATTGGCAAGAGAAAAAACATGTGCAAATTACCTTTTCAATATTATATTTTTCAAGTGCTTGAGTAGCGCAGTCAACAGCGTCTTGCTGCATTTCTTCACTCATATCAGCATTTTTAATTACTGCCTTGCGGTCAGACATTGTGGCAGATTTGTTCCTGTAATTTAAATTAAGACATTAGTACATAATACCAAAATGACATTTCAATAAAGATTTTGCGAGAAAACACATAATATGTTCATGACACTAATCCACACAACTTACTTGTATTAATTATAAAATAAAACGTTATAAAAATGTTTAAACCTGAGCGTTGATTTTTTTATACTTTCCCAAAAACAAATTTTATTTGTACGAATCGCCTATGTTTCAAAATTCGATCAAATCTAGCAGGCTTTCCAAACACTCAACCAAATCTCGCTTTGTGATTGGTCGATGAAACGTATTCTGGCAGAGACTTCTATCAGCCCAGAGTACAATGCGTATGAGATTTTGAATTACCAGATAAAATAAATGAAACTCAGGAATATAATTTCAAAATTCATTTTAAAAAAAATATAATGATTTTATTTTGAAAACGTGTTTCATAATTGATAATTTATACATAAATTCATTTAAAAGTTAACAACGAAATCAGTTCTATTTTTATATTTGACTCTAATTTTCTAAAATTATTGAAAATTGAAATAATTTAAAAAATTTGATATTATATATGTTGAATAATTGATATGGCATGATTCCTACTTTTTTTGTAAATAATATTTTATTTTAAATTTGTCTTTATTCAAAACGATGATTTAGAAAGGATTTATATTCCTATGAGGCAACACTTTCGTTTGACGTTTGCCATCATGCAACACTACTTCTTGGATGTCAGAAAGCACAATTTCCCATTAACATCAGTAATCAAATAGGTTTTGACATTTCTACATGCGGTTCTTAATTTAAAGTTTTCCTTATGTGTAATGGTATGAGAGTGCTTTTAGTCAGTTCTTGTGACTTAAACGTTAATTCTAGAGATATTTTATATAATCTTTTAAGTTATTATCATACAGTATTTACGTTATGACACATTTTATACTAGGTTTTAGATGTTTTGGTTAATATGAGTTTAAGTATTTATTTTTTTATAATATAATAATTTATTTTACCGAATTTATTTTACCGATATTTATAATAAATCTTCATATATGCTTGAAGAAAAAGTGGATCACCTATATAATTTTATTTGCAATTGAAGTTCATGATATTCAAACTATGGTGAGTTTATTATTATATTAATAACTTTAAACTTATATATATATATATATATATATATATATATATATATATATATACATATAGTAATTAATCATTTATCTTTAGATTTAGATATGTTCTTAAATAAAATCATTTTACTGTAACTGCACCAAGCTATTTCTTATAAAATGGACCCTAAAAAGTGAAATTTATTTCATTGCCATCATTATCGCATAATTTAAGAGAGTGTAGTTCATTAAATTATATTTTTTAAAAATAAAGTTCATTGATCAACTACTTGTAATATTACTCTAAACTTTTTTACATGAAAGTCATAAAACAATTTTACACCCCTGTGTTAGTTTTTAAAGAATTCTCTTCTCTTCTTGCAGTCCACTAAAATACATACCTGCCAGTAGAAATCTTTATTTTTGTTTATTATTCAGATCATTTAGTTCAAATATAAGTTTTCCATACAGTGATGAGTAAATCGTTTAATTTAACTTCTCTTTATTTGTACAAATTGTGTGCAATTGAATTTTAAATTGGATGTGCCTTTTCTAGAAAAATCTGTAATTGTAAAAGTTTAGAGCTGTACACAATTGATAAGTCTACATTGTCATTAGTAATTTATATATTTTCAATTAATGAATAATAAATATTTATTTTCCTTAATTTATTTCTGTTGGTGCAGGATGTACTGCAATTTTTAAATCATGATTTGAAATATTAATGCCATTTATTTTCAAAAACTGTTAATAATCAGCTGATCTAGACCAGTGATTCCCAAAGTGGTTCAAATGGACCCTCAGACAGCTTTCAAAGGGTCCACATAAGTGAAAAGGAATTTTAAACATCCACGATAGTGGATCACAACACGTCTTGTTTATATCTAATTTTTATTTAATTTTAAAATCAATTAAGGTAAAAATATAAAAGAGAGATATCTCATAGGAGATAATCTCTTATATGCATTAAAACCAACTTTTCAATCACATTGTCTTAAAAAATGTATTTAATTTTGATTGACAATAAAAGTATGCAAAAAAAAAAAAAAAAATTAATTAAGGTCTTAACTTGTATTTAAATCTTTACTTTAAATGTTAAATACTAATTGTTAGTACAAATAGAAATTTTTAAAAAATTCATGGGGGTTTATGACAAAGCCTAAAGGGTCCACGACACAAACAAGTTTGGGAACCTATGATCTAGACCAGTCTTTCTCAAAGTGGGCGATTGTAATATGCAAGGGGGCGATAAGAGGCCCCTAACTATTTTTTTTACATGTATACACTGTTTTAAGTAGCGTTTTATTTGCTCTCACTGGTAAAATCTTCTAATTTAGAATGTATGATTGCATCAACTAATATAGCACACTATAACCATATTATTGAAATTTAAAAAAAATGTATGTAGAGATTATATAGGCATAAAAAAATTGGTATGAGGCGCTACAAAAATTTCCATTTTCAAAGGGGGCGTTGGAAGAAATACGTTGAGAAACGCTGGTCTAGACTAATGTTCCCTTCTTAGTTTTGGATTTCTTGGTATAACAGCAGTAGGTTCTCATTTATATCTAATCGCGCAATTAAGATCCTCTAATAATCTACTAGTTTGAATAGCACACACATGAATCTGCTGGTTGTGATTTAAATTTCTCTTGATTATAATTCACTTTTTACCTTCAGTGTCTGGTGTCTTGGCTTTGTAATAATTATCTGTATTATTTGGGTTAAATTTGTTTGATCACATCGCGATTTTGGTACTTTGGGTAATTTCAATAAACTATGCCGAAGAAACCATAGCTCGGAAGTGAATTTCAATGCTAGCGAGAGTTTTAATATAGTTTTTCTCCTAATACTCAAATACTTACCTAGAACTCGACGTTTATTCGTTAGGGAATTTTGTGGATCCTTATATGATTATAAGGTTGATAGTTAAAATGAAACCCCTTAAAATATTATAGGCATATGAAATGTGTGCGATTATAAGTCTGCAGTATATATCTTTGTATTCGTGACTGTATGATTTGCAGATGTAAATACCAAGTACATACATTCTAAATACATTGTATAACAATATTGTTTGATTGCATTGCATCGTGAGATAGAAATGTGACATTGACCTTATTAAAGGACGTTCAATGTGTTTTAAATTCGAAGCGGAATAACACGTGTTGTGTTATTGATCTGCATATGACGTATATCATCTGTTTGTAGTACATCATTTTAATTGTATTTAATTCAACAAATTAAAATCGTCGTCATCACAAGCGAACATAGATACAGAATCATCACCATCACAATTATTAGGCAAAACCATCAAACTCCTTTACCATTCTTCCTCTGCGACATAAGATTCTATTACTGGTCCATTATAAGACGGGGATATTTTTTCTAACGAGTATAACTCGTTTTTCTAAGATTTTACGAACGTATTTGACAAATCTATTTGCATGATATGACGTGTTTTAGCCGGTGTGCGTAAATTTAGAGTAGGTTATTCTTGGGTCATCAAGATATGGCATGTTTTGGCAATATGCAAAAAACTTGGTTTCTTCGTTGAGAGAAAAAACCATGAAATTGATAATATTTTAGGCAAATTCAAGGATTTACACTTGTCTTGTAATAATCTTTTTGTTTCTTTATATTTTTCTGAAAAAGAAGATTGAAATTTAAATGCTATTGCAATAGATACCAACCAGATTTTCACTTGAAATCATAAATTTCAAATATGATCTTAAGTGAAAATAGCCTTTCGGAGGCATTGCTGCAACAATTTTGGGTTCTTCTCGTAAAATAGCAAGTTAAGTCTTGAAACAAATTTCTTATAAGACAAGAATTTCTAAGTAGCTCTGATACAAGTAGCTATCGAAACAATTGAAAAACTAGTGGTGTATGGCATCGTGCCTTAAGGCAAATTGCTTGAACTTGCCGTACCATAATGGAAAAGAATGTCGAAGAATAAAATTTAGTAAATAAAAAATATTTTTTGGAAATTGAGAAAAAATTAAAAAAAAAATCGTTTCCCAAAAGCATTCGTTTCATCAACACAAGTAGAAAGTTTTTTGAATCATTCAAATCGGATGCTTTTTTCTCTCAAAAACTGTCATTTTTTGCACATTTAGCTCTATATCTCCGAATCGGCTGGACCTGCTTTTGCCAAAAACTAATCAAAATTGTATCTATACATACATACACACACACATCCATTTTTTCTAAGGTGTGCCAAAATGTTTAGAAACCTTCAAAACGTGAAGATATGCAAAAATTTTCAATGTCAATAACTTATTTCTACGGGAAGTTTAAAAAACATGTATCAATAATGAGTAGAGCTACTTCATCCTTGCATGAACATATTTTTATAATAGGTAATATCTATATCATTGAAATATAATCTAATCTTTCCATAAGTTGTTTTTTTCGAGAAGTGTACGGTTCAAGATCAAATCCTTTATATGAAATATTTGTGAAAAGTGATTACAATTTAGATCGTCATTTTAGCTCGAATGTTTCGTAACACTTGGCAAAAGAAATTGGCTTCTCGAACCTGTATCCGTGACAGAGAAATGATTAAATAAATTATTGAAAATAACTCGACAACATCCCTAAATGGAATTTTATATTAATTTAGTACACTTGAGCCAAAATTCATGACTTATATAATTTTGCAACAACGTAAATAACTTATATAATATTGCACCATTCGATTTACTTTATCGAATAATTTTATCTGATTAATTAGTTTCAGTATCAATTAATTCATTTTGTGTTAATTAAATTTTTAAAATCACATGATTTTTTGCGTACTCGAACACACGTTACATAATTGATATTTTACTGATTAATATTTTTAAAAATTGTGGTTTAAGAGCTTAACACAAATTCTCAATAAAAATAGGCTAAATGTAAATAATAAAATATGCGAAGGTCAATAACACGATTGGAAAAAAATATAATCTGCTGGTCACCTCGCACAATTGATAACTGTACTGATACTATGCCAAAAAAATATCTCTAATAAATTTCCTGGTTAGAAAGAAGAATTATTGAAACAAGTTGTTTAACTGATTTATACAGATTTTTTCAAACGTATGAAATACAATCTATTATGTGAAGTAATTTAGTAATATGTTTTATTTAACACATAACGCAATCCAATGGTTGTCCTATCTAATTGTGATATAACTTATAAATATTATTATTTTATTTTTGGCCTAATAAATTTCACCTTGTCCTATCCAATTGTGATATACCTTATTATTATTATTATTATTTTGTTTTTGGCTTAATAAATTTTACTTTTTGTTAGAAATATATTTTGATCTATTCATAGAGGAACTGGATCACATCTAGATTTTCACCAAACATGAAAATTATTTCCATTAACTAGCTGGTGGTCTATAATAAAGCTTAATATGTGCAAACTGTATAAATTTAAACAGCAAAAATAGTGCATTTAATGCAAAATAAAATGCTTTAAAACATAGTAACATGCAATAAGAATTTAAACTGTTTTTGTTATCGCAAACATTATCTTTAAACGTTTATAGAAAAATGGTGGTCATATGAGTAATATTTCGCAAATCATAAAATGTAGACAGCACTTTATACAACAATTTAGATTATCTTTAATTTCTTTTAAAACCTGTTTAACTAATTTTGAGAATCGATTTACAATTGATAAGAATATCTGATCAAAATTTAAATGGAGCTACTCAATTTGCCTAGCCTATATCCAGTGGCGTCGGAACCGTGTGGGCTGGGTGGGCTGAGCCTACCCATTAATCTCAAAAAATGATATGCCCTAATATGTCCTAAAAAAACGAACCCACTGGCAGCCTATTAAAAAAAAAAGAACCCAATGGCTATCAACAATAAAAATAAAAAAAACGAGTCTACCCATCAAAAATTTGCTTCCGACGCACTGCCTATAATCATTACTTAATAAAAAAAAATTATCAACAAATTTCATTAATCAAGCTGAAAATAATATCAAGATTTAACAAATCGTAAACTATT